GCTATAAACAAACTTCTTAGCAGAGAGCTCGTCCTACCCAGATGTTCGTTTTATTGCATTTAGCGAGTTCATCTGTAAGCGGAAAATCTCTTCATTACCCAGCTTATATTATTTGGGAGAACTGGATATTGCATTCATTTAATTAGGAAAAACCCAGCGGTAATTAGCTCACTCCTGGCTGCAGAGGGATGGGCTGGAGCCTTCCAGTTATCCCGTGGTGGCTTCCTGCGGCAGCGAGGGGTTGGTTGTACGAGGCTGCACAACTACCTGGTGTAGAAATTTCACACCCCTACAGCAAAACGTGATGGGAGAAGCCCTGAACCAAACTTTTTTAGAATTCGGTGCACGAGGGAAAATCTTTTCCTTTGCTGTGTGGCTTGTGCTGCTGCTGGAACCGTCCTGGTGGGAGAGGAGCAGCACAACCCTTGTGCCTCCCAAGGGTGGTCTGTGTGAAGGGAGGTTGGAGGAGATGCTGTAGATGACCTCTGGTGTTAATTTCTATTATAACATTTACCTGTAACATTTGGGCTTTGTTGTGGGGTGGTTTTCTTCCTGTTCTCTTTCTCCAGCCACCCAGTGTGGTTCTGTACTTCCATCTAAGCTTACGTGGTACAGTAGTTTATTTTAAAACTTACCTTTATCTTTCCTTGAGCCCCTCCCCAGGCTTAGTGGGTTTATTAGGACTTGCCAGAAGACCTTGATAAGCACAGTTCTGTGGACCAGCTTTGGATTCCAGAAGATTCCAGGCAATTCAGGAATTAACATACCCACAAGCAGTGGGTGGGTAGCACATGGGTTATGATCAGTGAGTCTTGTCCTTAGAAATGGCATCTGGAAATTATAGATGAGACCCCTAAATTAGGGGAAATCTGTACCAGAGGGACTTCCCTTCTGAACAGGAAGAGCTGTGCTCTTTTTTCTGACTCTGGCTACAGGTAACCTTTTCCAAATTCAGATAATTTGACAAAGTGCTCCACTGAAGGCTCTTGCAGACCTCCATGAGATCCCTGGGGCAGCAGTTACACAGGGATCTGTGCAGTCTGCTCTTCAGTGTGGCCTTAAACCATATGGAAAAGGAAATAAGGTGACAAAATTTGTAAGGGAAAGGCCTGAGTGTTTGTCTGTGCATTTTTGTAGATGTGTGTGCATATATGTGCACCTGTATATACACCTAAAACCTAACTGTGAAGAGTTGTAGGAAGGCAGCTTGATTCTGAATGACTGGCCTTTAAAATAGCAGATGGAATTAAGTGTAGATACATGTGACATTTTCTGCATGGGAAGAGAGACAAATTCTTGATTTACATTTGCAGTAATGCCTGAAATATCTACTAATGAAGAGATTTTGGTGTTATAATCAGATATGAAAAATCACATTATCCCAGCACTCACTTGTTGTAAAACTCAAATAAGATATTAGGAAAGATTAGGAAAGTAAGAGAACAAAGTATTGTGTGGGTGTATAAATTCATGGTGCTCTCCTTTCATCCTCGATATTGTGTGTGTTCTAGTTCCTCCTGCTCAAAAATGTGAATTAGAGACTGTAGAAACATGGAGGGTCAGAGTTATGAAGCAGCTGAACTCTTGGCAGAGCTGTGGACTTTCCTGCCATGGGATGCTTCGGGCACTAAAAGTCAGTGTGGGTTCAAAATGCAATGGGACAAAGCCATGAAAGTGGAATTTGCTGAGAACTGCTCCAGAAATTGAAGTTGCAACTTCTAAAAGATGGACGGGGGGAAGGGAAAAAATGTCCCCTAAATTCCATGTGCTGGATGCCACTCACACTTGGAGTTTAGCTAATTCAGTTTACCCTTCCAGTGTCGTTACTACCTGATCTTATCTATAAGCTTTTAAGGAATGCCAGGTTTTGTCCTCTGAAGTTTTGCCTTTTTAAAAATTTACTGGCATCCAGAATGCCCAGATTCATGGTAGTGATTCAATATTAATGCTTCTTTTCACTTTTGTAGTTGTTATATTTGCGCTGTCGCTGCTTTAAGAAAAGCAAATCCAGCAAACAGCACAGGGATTGCAGGTGGTTCAGTGTAACTAAGGAAGGGGAAGATATTTTCCATGATGCACAACACTGTCATAGTTGCTAAAAATGAAATATGGTGCAGATTTTTTCTACTTCTGATAATACCCCCGTGTGTTAATACAGCACGGCATGTAAGTCCACTTGAGATCTTCAGTTCCTCACTGCATCCAAAATTATCATTTATTAAATCACAGTAAAGCCTCTATAATACATTATTTTTAAAGAATATCCCTTTAAAATAACATCTGAATTAGTGGAAAGACCTATTTAAAACACCACTGTGTTATGAATGGCAAAATTGTCAAGACTAAAACCAACATGAAGGATTATTTTTCCTAGAACAAATATTTCAGTAAGTGAAAGGGAGTGGCCAGATTTCAAATGTGTGATTTGATCCAAGTGTTCTTAGAAGGTTTGGACCAATCAGTATTTCTCTTGTCTGAGATTTTTGAATGTTTATTTAGACAATTTACTGTTTACTGCCTCTTTCTGTGGTAAGTAGAGAAGATACAATTTAGTTCTGAAACGGTTGTGGTGCTCCCATTGATCTGCTGCAAGTTAAAAGTTTAAACACGCTGCTGTGATTCATACCTGCATTCAAATGGCATTATTTGCCCTCATATTCTTAAATAGAGGCTGGAAACAATATAAAAATTATGAGGAAGGTTTCTGTGGCAGTAGCTGTAGGGAACAGGACACACAGCATTGTCCTTCCCGTTCTAATTCCAGCATATTTCAATTTTTAATGTCGGAAAGGAGTTCTCCTTGCCTGGATTATATTGCAACAAACTTGCTTGTGCTTGCAGTACCAGTTTTCTTGCTGTTTTAAAAAAGTCCTTCCCAGCTGCCCAGGCATCCTTTGGGGATTTCTGAACTCATGTTGCTGCAAACAGAATGTGACAATCTGAGAATGAGTCTTTTACTGTAACTTGTACCAGCAGTGGCCAGAGTTGTGTGTGTGTTTTCTGTTTGACTGGAGTATTGATAAGCAGTGTTAGACTGGTTTCAGTTTACAAATGCCTTTTAAAGTAATGAAACACCTTCCTTAAGCTCATGGACATGCACAAATCTGTGCACAATTCTGACTTTATTCTCTTATCTGAGCACTTTTTAAATGGTGCGAGTTTTTATAGACTTCTAGTTTTTGATACTGGTACACTTTCCTCTTAATAGCAGTTAGTAACTGAGCCTGAGCATTGCTCACTGCAGAATCCTAAAATAGTTTGGATTGGAAGGGATATTAAAGACAATTAAGTTCCAACCCCCTGCCATGGGCAGGGACACCTTCCACTAGCCCAGGTTGCTCCAAGCCCTGTCCAACCTGGCCTTGGACACTTCCAGGGATGGGGCAGCCACAGCTTCTCTGGGCAACCTGTGCCAGGGCCTCCCCACCCTCACAGGGAAGAATTTCTTCCTAATATCTAATCTAAATCTCTCATTTTTCAATTTAAAATGGTTCCCCCTTGTCCTATCGCTCTCTGTGTAAAACGTTGCTCTCCCTTTTTTTTTGTAAGCCCCCTTTATATACTGAAAGGCCACAAATACAGACTGTATGGAGATCAGAAAATCATTGTTGGACTTGTTGGACACCTCGCAGGTGCTTTTAGAGGTGGAAGTCTGGATGTCTAACTTATGCTGGGCCTACAAAATCAGAAGATTTAGTTTCTCTTTTCAGAGAGTACTTGAAAGGTCACTCAGAATCTGTTCTGTGTGGCTTTCTTGTCAGAGCACTCGTGTGAACCTGCACAGAGGATTATGGAATCCATCCCTCAGGTTTTCCAGGGAGATCAGTTCCATTCCACACACAGCTCCTTCTTCCACTGAAATTTTCTTTATGTATTAATAATTGTGTTATTTGTGTTGATATATTTGTACATTCAGGTAGGTGTGGCAGTCCTCTAATAATCTGAGAGGGGAGGAAAGATGGGGAATTGTATATTGATGTGTGTGATGGGACTCACTGAGAATTCCACTCACCCTCTAACTTTGGGATGGGGGAGTGTTTGGTTTCCTACCCAGCACAGGAAACAAATACTTCTAGGTAGGTAATACCTAGAAGTATAACAACAGATCATTAAAATATTTGGTCATCAAATCAAATATTACTTAAAATACTCTAAAACTTTTTTTCAACTCTTCTGTATTACTCCATTTTATTTTTATGTGCATTCAAGATTAATTCTCAGGAGTTTGAATCTGAGGGGAATCCCCAGCTGTCCTACGTGCATTTCTTTCCTCCAAACTGCTTTTTATCTACAGTTTTCAGTCTTTAAAAATGCTACACTTGCTTTCAGTGATCTGTATGTAATTTTTTTACCAAGCTAGTATTTTTTTTTCAATCCTGGTGGACCAATAAACAAGTTGAAAAGCAAGGCCAGGGCTCCTGTTTATTTAGTAACACCCTCTGCAGCCTTGTTCCTGCAGCCAGTGGTGCAGCTCCCAGCACTGCCTCTGTGTTGTGTCTTTTTGTCCTCCAGCAGTGCTGTCAAACAGTAACAGGGGAAACTCAGAAACACCTCAGAGCTTTTCCTGACCCTTGCAGAAGTTTTAAATGTTCCACACATGATGCTGTATTTGGATGGAAAGTATGCCTGGGCATCAGCAGGCGTTTAGTGGTTTTCTTTGGGTTTAGATATTCTGCTTCCTCAGTCCAGAGACACATTTCAGCAGCAAGTTATTGTGTGTATTTACATTGTTTGCTTTGGATATTACTTGGAAAACTCCCAGTGTACTGTCTCAGTATGATTGTAGTGGGCTGACATCACCACATGAGTCTAACAAGGGAAAAATGTGTTGATTTGGAAGTGGGTCCCAGCATGATGGAGAATCTCTGCAGGATTATCTTGCTGAAGTCTTCTGAGTATAATAACTATACTTCTTAAATGCACTTGTTGTGGTCTGGAAAACCAGGTCTGTATACATGAATTTATTTTTCTGCTGTGTGTGTTTTTTTTTTTTTCTCTAGTGTCCCAATGTAATATCAGCTTGAAGAAGCAGAGGAGTCGAAGTATCTTTAGCACCTTATTCTGCTGCTTTCGTGACTACAATGTCGAACCACCATCTACCAATAGCACCAGTGCTCTGCCTCCTTTGGTGGAGGAGAATGGAGGACTTCAGAAGGTCAGGATTTTATCTTATTTTGCTGTCATACGGGTCTTTTGTAACCAAGGTTTAACTCTGCTCCCAAAGGTTTGTCTTAACCTGAGGGAAACCTGTTATGATTTAGAGAAAAAATTACTGTCTCGGTGGTGAATTGCTAATGTTTTCTATTCAGCTGCAGTTTAAAACCAGTATTTCCGTAGACAGTGTTGGCAGTACTAATTTTATAAGCAAACAACATTTAAAACCTGACTTAAGACACTAAAAAAAGGTAGACTTCTCATAAAATTTCAGCTGCTGAGTTGTCTCTGGCTTTGGTTCCCTTTCCTGATTACAGGAAGGTTAAAATGTGTCCACTGGAGCGTAGTGGAACCTTTTAAATATCACTTAAAAAGGGTTTTAGTGACAAAAAAACCAAATCAACAAGAGGGAGAACCATTATTTGGACCTTTTTCCCTAAGCAGTTCACTTCTGTTTAATACATGCTGAATCCAGAATTATCAGCTTTTGGCCATTTTTCCCTATTATTAAGCTTTGTTTACCTAAATAAATCAACTGATAGAAATTTTAGCACTTCAAAGCGTTTTGTGTAACAGCAAAATGTTACTTTGATTGAATTCTAGTAATTACATTGCTTTGCCATGTTCACAGAATCACATAATGATTCTATATGTTCTTTTTAATTCTGGTAACACTGAGAGCGTTTGTCTCATGAACTGAAGAATTTCAGTTCAATGTGCCAAACACAGGAGTGCCATCTTTTCCATACAGTTTTCCAGGACTTTGAAATGGGAGATATAGGTGTATCCATGGTGGGGAATAATAGCAGAAATGGAAATCACAGAATCACCCTCCTGCTTTTCACCTAATTTTTCATGTCTGATGCAGCAGATTCCTTACCCACCTTTGTCCAGTCCATTTTATCCTGGCTTGGATTTTGCTGGTTATGTTTGAATTCTGAAAAGCTCAGGAGAAAGAGCAGAGGAACTGCTTGGTGAAAGCAGATTAAGGTGATGGAGACTGAGAGTACGTGTGGAGGTGAAGTCTGAACTGGAGCAGTTCATGCTGAAACTGCTCAAGCAGAGGTGAAGTGCCCTGAGAATTCTGCCAAGAGGAGGAACTGTACATGTATTTTTAGACTTACTCTGCTAGCCAAGGTACATTCTGACTGAAATGAGGGAAATCCAGCCTGGATGTGCTGAAGGGAAAGCTGAGTAGTGTGTAGCATGTGCACACACATTCATCTGAGAAACAAAAGGAGTGGGAAACTAATAAAATTTCCCTTTCCACTGTGCTGGGGAATGGAAAGTAGGCTGAAGTGAGACTACTGGCAAAACTACAGCTGAGAGAGAATGGGAGTTCATTAGAAAGAAAAACATAAAACAAAGTTTATTTTTGCTACAGAAAACATGAGTAAAAATGGTCTGGAGTCGGTAGTTTCCAGATTGTATTTTCTAAAACACTTAATTATTTTCTAAATAAATCTTAGGCCTTGAGTGAGTGATTGGCTCATGTGTTCACACAAGTTTCCATCTCCACTCTGCTGCCTCAGTGAGCAGTTTTGGAGCTGTGCAACACTTGTACACAAGACCAAGACACAAATCACAGCATTCGTAGAATTAGCAGATTAAAACTTGAGTGAAAAACTTCAAGGAGTATGTGGAAGAGAAGCATTCATAGAATTACCAGGTTAAAACTTAAGAGAGTTAAAAAATTGAAGGAACATGTTGAAGAGAGTTCAAACTTTTGTTGAAGAAATACTCAAACCTTTCTAGAAGAAATCAAGTACAGCTGAACTTTTAGGTGGTTCTTCAGTGTAAAATAAGTCTGTGACATGGCTATTTTAAATGCAGTATTAAAGACTAATAAGCTTTGTATATGTTTTTATGTGCTGTTTTTATTGAGTACTAACACAGTGTAAATAAGAAATTCTTTAAAGAAAGAAAAAGAGCACTGAAGACTTGGGTATGTTTGAATATTGTTACCCTGTCAGGGTGGTGCTTTTTGCCAGGAGAGCTGTTTTAGAACTGTGCAGGCTGCTTGAATTCGATGGAGTTACACTGAGCATCTTGTCTAGATTCAGAAATTATAAGTAATGGGGGAAAGTACATGCAACAGTGGGCTTTGGATTCTAAATTGGTGAAATTAAGTGTCCAGGAATGACCAAATTACCTGTTTCAGGAGAAAAAATAAAGGTTGACAACACATTGCTTAAACCCCTCTGCTGTTAAATTAAAGCTCTTTTTTGCATTATTCTTATTGCCAGATTAGAATTCTGTTGAACTGCTGCTCAAATGATCACTTACTTATATCTGCTATCTGATTTATATGTTTTATAAACTAATTACCACATCACAGTTCACCTCTGGCCATGGCCCAGTCAGCTCATGTGTTGTGACCCTTTCCTTCAAAAATGGACAAAGAACATTGCTCAATAAACAGTTACCACTAGAAACTCATATAAAATGGCTTGGATGTACTTTCCTTCTGTCTTTACTGTTCAGTGGAGTTGTTACATGAAAACTGGTGATAAAGACTTCAGAGGAAGGGGAAGGAGTGGGGAAGACAACTGCTGGTTTCAGAGGATTTCAGTGTTTGTTCTGTGTTGCTTCTGGCATATTCTTGAACCTGAAGTTGATGTGACAAGCTGACTCCCTTCTAATCAGGAATCTTGATTCTTTAAATGCTGACCTGTTCAAAAGGAAGGAAAGCAGGGGAGAGTATTCTATAAAGTAATTGAAAACACGGTTGTGAAATTTTGTTCAGAGTAATTGCATTGTGTGATTTAATTTTTATTATTATTATTATTATTATTATTTGGCTGTACTAGAAAAAATGAAATCAGTGCTTCAGATTAATCAGTGCTTCATGATGTGACTTGATGATGCTTGACATGTCAAGTGTCATGTCACTTCTTCATAGGATTGGAAGAAACCCCAAATTAAGCATGGTTTTGAATAAACAATTTTTTTCAGCACTGACTTCTGTTCTGCTAGGGGGAAAAAAAAGCCCAAAAACTTCTTTAAAGTATTGAGTTCACTTTTAAACCTTCTCCTCACAGAGCAGCTGCTTGTCCAAGTGTGACTCTAATACTGGTAATGAATGGTCCATTCTGTCTCTAAAGTTTCAATACAACATTTTTTTTCAACAATAACTTGTATTTACTGAAACTGTGGTATATTTGTTTTTCTTAAAATGCAGCAGCTATTTAGCACAGCATGAAGATGTATTGTGGAGATGTAATGTCTGTGACAGTGGGTATATCAGCCTGCCTGCAGCTTGGATGCTGAGCCAGATGTGTCACTGGGAGCACACAATGTTCAGCCTCATGAAACCCTTGGTAATTTTTTCCTGCCTCCTCAGCAGCAGGCAGCTCCCCAACACCTTCCAGCCACATTTTTTTGTTTGGAGGCCAGAGTGTTGGAAGAGGGGAATTGTTTTTTGTTTTCTTCTGAATAAATTCAAGTCCTAATTCCTATTCTTCTGTTGGCAACTTGACTCAGTTTGTGCGTTTTCTGGGCGTGCTTCTGGATGTAAGTTTTTTTCCTTCTGGGTTAAGTCTGTTATCTGAGTTTTGAGGTGTTTGCAGATAACAGATTTCATTCACTCAGGCTTCAAGGAGTGGGATCCAGATAGAGAGAGGTGAACACAGCTAGATGCAAAATAGCTTTTTGTTCCCTCTGCTCTCAGCCCTGGTGGGTGAGGCAGCTCTGACAAGTCTATCGGCACTTTGCCATTTCACTCACAACCCACTTCCACTGGAGTCATCCTTGCTTTTGTTTCACAGTGAGATCCAAATCAGGCAGATGGCTCGTGTTAACGAGATGAAGCATGAATGAGGGAAGTTTTTTTTATACTTGTTGGAGTAGAGGAGAAGGTCTTGATCCACACTCAACAGGGAAGAAGACAGAATTAGGAGGAGGTTTATTCTGGGGGCATCAGCTGCCCCTGCTGCTTTCCCAGTAACTGCATTCCCACCTCACCCATCCTAACGACTACAGAAGTCAGGGCTTCTTCTCCCCACTGCTTTTTGCTGCACCATCATCTTCCAAGGTGATGCTGGAAAACTGTTTCGATGACCTATGGTCATGTCTCCAACACTGTTTTCTGCTTCAGGAATCTGTTTTTAACACAGTGCAGGAAAAAGGATCTTCTCTATCCCACATGAATATGGTCCAGCAAGATGAGAAAAACAGCTTGTAGGGAGCACGTTCTTGAGGGCAAAGTAGTATCTCCTTCATGCAGGAGACCTTGAGAAGCAGCACAAGCTCTGTTTGAGGAGGAGACCATCAGTGACGCGCTTTCTGAACGGATGTGGAAGCCACTCTCACTCTCCAGTGTGGAAGAGGATAACTGAGATTAATGCAAATCCTAGTACTTTTTCTCCTGCTTAACCTTTGCTGATCTGAGCAAGAAAGTTCCTAATGTTTGGTTCTGTTGGCCAACATCAACATGTGGTATGGAAGATCTGTTTAGAAAACAAACCCCCCTCTGCATAGCTGTGCTTGGTTCCTCTCTCATTGCTTACTCATTCTGACCTTCTTTGCCTCCCAAAAAGTCCTCTAGATTAAGAGACAAAGCTTAATATTGAAAGTCAATGAAAGAGTCCAATAGCAACTATATTACTGTTTTTAAAAAACCTGTCATGGTCTAGAATACGCTTTGTGTTAAAGAAATGGATATGATGAAGCTGATCAAAATAACAGATTTTTCTCTAAAATGAAACAGCTCCTTATCTTTGAATACAGACTGTTCTCAAAAAAAAAAAGGCAAAATAATGTGACCTGTCACTTGGTGCTCATTGATCCCACACAAGACCACAGACAGCATTAATGAATGACATGGTACTGGAAATGTTGTGTCTCTAAACCAAAATTACGCAGCTGAGGGAAAATATAGGATTTATCATTTCATCTGTGTATAGTGTGCCGTGAAAAAAAAAAACAACCCTGATTTCAGTGGTTGGACAAATCAGTTCCTGGGTTATTTTAGCGATACAATAGGGAAATTTTGGCATTCTAGGAACAGCTTTGTCCTGTTCCCAACACGAGGAGCTCGTGGAAAGCCTTCAACAAATGCAGTCATCTGTCATGTATTTCAAACGATACCGGTATGACCTATTCCCCTTCCTGTTCCAAAGCATTAGGAAATGATGCAGGACACTTTTAAGAAGTTTCCCATAGCAGGCTGGTTTTTAAAAAACATTTGCCTGTTGGTGAGCACTCGCAATTTCCCAGCAGACTCGTGCAGTTATCTTTCTGCTTGGTTTTTTTGCTGTTCTCATCTTTACCTTTTTGATGTTTGCAGAGGTTCTTTTAGAGTTCCTCTTGCTTTTTTATTATTATTTTTATTTATTTATTTATTTATTTATTTATTTATGAAATTCTGTGAGAAAAATAAAGCAAACAGTAATGCAAGTCCTGTAGCAGCTTCAGTTCTGGATTCCCATGGAAGTCAGTTCTGCTAACAGAACATCAACGTACTGAATTATAATCTTTTTCTTTTCTTATTGCTGTTGCCCTGAGGGAAGCGTGGATTCTTGCCAGTTTATGTGTGTGTGTTTTTCTAGAAATCATTGGTACTTTTTACTAGTGCAAAGGTTTTGATAGTTCGTGGTCGTTGCTGCTCTCCAGTTGCTTCTTCAGCTTCTCAGGATTTTGGTCGAACTTCAGTAAAAATTTCTGATGTTTTAGCAACTAAAAAAAGAGGACTTTAATATTGAATTACTTCTCTTTGTCAGAGATGTGTCAACACTGTAGTAAGACATCAAAACAAGTAAGCACAAGACTTCTTCAGCTGGAAGAGGCTGTGCTAATGTTGAAAACAGCTCTTTCAGTAATTGCTCTGCTGGAAGTCAGAGCCTCTGTTTTTGTCCAAGTATTCAAGAATTAAATCACCTACCTAAGTAATATCTACGCTAGAAGGATCAGCTTCCTTTTTTTTTTTTTTTGTGCTGTGGCTACCAAAAAGCAAATACTTGTCCCCATTTTCCACAATCCCTTACATATTTGGGTCAGTGACCCTGTGACCAGCGTTTCTCCATTTTGGGGCTGTCCTTGTCTCTGTATATCAGGACCCAGGAAGGGAAGAAGAAGTCAATCTGGCCAAGATTTTCTTGCCTTCTCCCAAGTACATGACAAAAAGTGAGACCATGGGAAGAGCTCTGATACTGTTGCCTCTTTCTGGGTGAAGAAAGTGAGATTTCTTGGGTTAGTTTTTATATTGCCTGGGTGAAAATGCTGTTTTTTCTGAGTCAGCTGTCTCAAGTGAAGTTCAGTTCAAGGAGTGGGTTTCTGCCCTGCTACCAAGGTCTGGCTCAGCCTCTTGCTGCTGCAGTGAAAACTGACAAATATACCCGTTAGTAGATCTTAAAGCTGAAAAAGTTACAGTAAATACAGGTACTTTCTAATTGCCATCTCTTATTAATCATAGCATGGGTTTTACCAGTCCAGTCTCCTAAAAATCATAAATACCAGTGTACTAACAGATCATTCCAGCAACTAAAATGCAAGACCTTGTTTTTATTTTTTTTACCCTGGTTTCTTGAATACTTTGAACTTTTGGTTTAAAATGTTTGAGTGCTACATTTACTGCTCCAGACCTTTGTTCTACCCTTTAAAAGCCATTACCCTTACAGTGATTTTTTTTTTTTCTTTTTCCCCAGGGTGACCAGATGCAGGTCATGCCTATACCAAGTGTATGTATTTTTATCCCTTTTTCTTTTAATAATTTTCATAACTTTTGCTTTGTTTCATCTTATGTTGCAGTCTAACAGGTCTGTTTTGTGTTGCATGTTAACAAAAGGATTTTATGTTCTGTCTGTGATGTTGTATACTCAGAGATGAATTGAACTGCACGTGTTCCACAGGGACTAAAAGAAGAGTTTGGGTTTTATGTGGATTTCATCTGAATTTTTACCATTTTGGAAACGCTTGAAGTGCTCTAAAAGTTGAAGTTACTTATTTTAATAGAGGCAAAAGGTGACTCATCACCACTATGTGAGACACAGTTACAAAAACCTTTTCCTCTCATTTTTCCCAATATTCCAGTTGAAAGGAAGAGTTAGAAACTGTGAAACTTATTTGAAACAAGTCACTTCAGGAAAACAGAGTACACTGACTAGAGCTGCATTACTGCCCTTGTTTGAGATGATGCTCTTGATATCAGCTGCTGTTTTATGGGCCTTAGTATTTCTGTTTATCTTGCCTGGATTAAACTTGGAATGCTGTTTGGCATCTGAATTATTTCTCAAGGCTAAATAAAAGGAAGGGAAAAAAAGAAGTTCTTCGAACTGAAGCTTTTAATTTAATTAGTTTTAACCTTTTTTGGTCAAAAAGCTGCTCTTTTTTGCCTTTTTTTTTAATGAGGTTGAAGGCTTAGGCTTTGTAAATCTGAAAATACTTTTTTTTTTTTTTTTAGCTCGTTTGCTGTTTATAATACTTTATTATGCAGAGTTTCCCAGAAAATAGCAGTGCTGATGTGCTGAGTTACTGACCCAGCCCTCTAGTTTGAGATATTTGGTAGCCTTTAAAGACCTGGATACTCCCCAAGATACCATTTTTTTTCTTCTTTCCCTTCCTTCTCACGTAGCCCAACATTACAAAACCCCCTGTAAGAACCCTGTCCATGCTGCAGAGCAGAAGTGTCAGGAGCTCGCTGTGACTGTGCACATCTTCCCTCTCTCACCAGTTTTTCTTGGATTTAGGAACTGTTGGGAATTACTTTTTGTTGCTTACCTGGTATTTCTCATATGGCTCATGCATAGATTTGTGTGTCTGAATACACACACATGTACACGCATGGAATTTATCTGTATGCAAGTCTAGAAATAGAAGAGTTTGGATGGATGAAAATACAGATTCCTGAATTACTTTTCTTTTTACATACCTGCCAAATTCAGTTAGGTGACTGTTGTTGCTCTGCTGGTAGTTATTTGAACACGAAACATGTTCTGGCTGTGCTCTGACCTGGAATAAAATCTTTGCTAAGAGTGAGCGTAGGTATTAACAGAAAAAGAATTCAAAGAGAACAAAATTTTGAAATAATAAATGAGTACAGCTCTGACAGGTACAGCAGTGAAATGAGGTGCTTTGTTAGGACATTGTCTTTGCAGTGTTAGATTTGGGTACTGGTAGGGAAATGAATGATTCAAGAAGGGATTTCTTTTTTTTCCTCCTTTTTTTTTTTTTTTTAAGCTCAACTGTAATTTTGCTGACCTATATTCCCAGCACTTTAATAAGGCAGTAAAATTAACTTATCTCTGCAGTCGTGACGTAGAGTTCTCAGCGAGCAGGTGACTTTAAAACACACTAATTCCCCTTCCCTGGTGCCATCTGATGCTCCTTCCAGCAGGACATTGGGAGTGTTGTCAAGCAACCATTGCCCGCGGGCAGTTGTGTGACATTTACTCTCCAGTATCACAGTGCTCCTGGCTGTCAGACAGGGCCCAGCCAGCATTAGTGTGTCATCATCTAAATAAAGGCACAAGTGAGCTGCACGTGGAGAAAGTGGTAGGAAAGAAAATGCAACGTTATGTTAGGAAAAAAAACACCTAAAATTAGTGTTTCTCTGCCAGTCTTCCAAGGGCTGTTTGTCCAGAGGGTCCCTCTGAGACAAATCTGAACTGTGTGTTTGAGACCCATTAAGGCAGAAGTTCTTGATGCTCTGCTACATAGAGGTGAGAACTGGGCTGTTTGAACTGTATGGCTCCTACAAACCAGGAGGAAAATCTTCTAAACACAGAGTGAGCTTGGTCACAATTAAGTGGACATTTACTTTTTACGAGGCTCGTTGAGAATGTCATCACTTCAAGTGCTTAGAGAACCCCTTAGTGACTCTGAAAAGTGCTCTGTCCACTCCCCCCACTCAATAAACTTTCAGGTGGAAACCTCCAGTCAAAATAGGAGGATTTTTGGAGCTTTATAATGCCTGTATAAAACCTGGCTGTCTGCTGAGATCACCTGTTTGAAAGCTTCCATTGCTTTATGTGCGTTTTGTGTTGCTTTTCGATGCATTTATATGTGCAATGCAGTGAAAGAGATCTTCTGCTAAGCAGATTTGTCCTGTATTAATTGCAATTAATTTAAAGTTAATTGAGTTAATATGGATTTTTTGCTTGGTTATTGATAGAGGTAACTGCTGAGGAAGAAACATTCCAGGTTTAGATGAGGTTCTTCAGAAAAATAGAACCAGCATTACTTTGGGGGTTTTTAAAATATGAACTTCATCCTGTTTGTATCTCATATAATCATACAATGGTTTGGGTTGGAAGGGACTTTAAAGGTGATCTAGTTCCAACCCCTAAATCAAAGTAGACCCATAGCAGCTTTGTTGTTTTTAATTCTTTTGAACAAAGAGGTAGATGGAAATACAAAACCACACTCGTGCAACATCCTGAATAGTTGTTCAGTATAAAATACCACTGGTAAGGAGTGGTACCAGAATTATCCCTCAGAATCCCTGCAGAAGTTAAATCTTATCACTGGGATTTTCACTTGTCCTCACATACATTTAGACGACTCCTCGTTATAACTTACAGAAGAAATTTTGGGAACTGCCTGTTCCATAACAGGAGCTGGCATCTCCTGGCAGCTGTGTTCTAAGTAGAAATCATTTATCTTCTGTAAGAGTATTTCTCTGTGTAATTGCTGGGAGAAGCTGTTAGCTCTGTGGAGGGCAACCCAGAGTGTGAGTTGAAGGGACCACGAACAGTGAATTAGTGTGCTGCACTTAGGCTCGACAGCATTGCCAGTGTAGGAAACAAAAAAGGGCTTATTAATTCTGATACTTGTCTCTGTGGGAAATATGGGCCTACAGGGAAGAAAGCTGATGATTGTTTTATACAGTAAATTTCTGAAAGATTTGTGTTGACCAGCTGTTTATGCTTCAACCAAAAGTCCTGTTCTCTTGCCACCACCACCCCCTTTTTTTTTTTTTTTTTCTTAGGGAATATACTATTTCCACGGGACTGAAGCAGTGCAGCAGTCGTTTCACTACAAGGTCTGTTGAGCTGATCAGCCATGAGACCTGGCTGGAATGCATAAATCCCAAACAGTGACTAGTTTAACTTGTATACAATTTATGTCTTGTTGGAATTGAAGACCAAGCTAGGACTTAACAGTACTGAGAGACCACGTGTTATTTTTCTGCTGAGTTCTGTGGAAGTCTGCAGCCTTTCAGAGAGTATTGCATAGTAAATATGAGTTGCTGTTAGCCACTATTAAATAATCCTAATCATCTTAGATGTCTTTAAAGCTACTATGTGGGGAAAAAAAAAAAAGAAATTATAAAAGATCCATAACTATTAACTATGGTGGAAATCTGGTAATTAGAACTCTTCTTGGATATGTCTCTGTTAATGAAGAAATTAAAATACAGTGTTGAGTAATGCTTGTTTCTGCCTCAAAGCTTTGCTACTCTTGGCATGTGGAAATTCCTTTAGATCAGAAAGCTTGAACAGCAAAACAAATGGACTGATACTTTACAAACAAATCCTTTAAGTTCCTGAAGCCTCAAAAATGTCATCCATGCTCCAGAGTCCTACACCAGCTATTTAGCAGCCTCACAACTTGTAGTGACTTCAGCTCCAGAATAGTTTCCTTATCCCTGTTAGATTATCAGGGGTGCAGATGTGTTTTCACAATTGAGGGCAACGGAGACACAGGTTGTGAAACAGAAACACATTTCTTTTGAACTTCAGATGTGTGAACTTAGGGAAGCTGGATCAGATCGAACCCAAGATGCCAAAGCTTGTAGGAGGGTTGGTGTTTCCCCAGGAAAAACCTTGAGGGTTAGTTTTGTTAGTTAAAGTTAGGTCAATACCTGCACATTATTTCTTAATGCAATACTGAAAAGGGAGAGAAACTCTTATCACTGCTTTTGAGAAAGCAGAGGGTGCAGGTGATTGAAGAAGATGGGCGTGGATTGTCTCAGATGCAGTCAAGAAATTCAGGTTATCAAGAGTTGAAGGTTCTCACGTTTTGTAGTCAGTCCCTGATAGATGTCCATCCTTTTCTTGATGACAGGCGTAACAGTTTCCAGATAAAAAACTAAAGATATCTTTGATAAGACAGTGCTCCTATTTTTCATAGCATAATTTTATATGGAAGAATATCTATTCCCATATATTTTTCATAGCTATAGGTATTTTCAGTTTGATAAAGAATTCATATAGCAGAAGGAATTTCTGGCTTTGAACTGCTGGTGCAGATTAATGTGGTCAAAAATTTGAACTAGATACAGTTCTAAGAGTACAAAAATGAACTGAACTATTATTTAAAAAGAAAAAAATATGCTTAAGGTTTCTTGGGATGTTCCTCCTTTTTTTTTGCATCTTCAAAGACAAGAAATCAGTATCAGAACACAGGTTCTGAAGATTATTGTCTTTAAATGGGTTGGATTTTTCTTTCAGTAACCTTTTGGTCTGTTCAGGTTGCAAATTTGGATCCTCCTTGCTGTGAAAAATTGAGGTGGGGTGCTAAATACCTTTCAGGCTTTGAAATCAAGAAGTGAGAAACTAAAATTTAGGTCTGGCCCTAGTTGCCAACAAGCAGAGCTAGAGCTGAAGCAGTTGTGGGACTGTCTGTATAACCTAGAAAGGCTGTCCTATAAATTTGAGCCTGGTTGGGTGACTGTGATGGATTGGGTCCATTACAGGCATTAGGCAGAAGTTGTTTTTTTCTTGAAGGTTGTTGTTAGATTTGTGCTGAGAGAAAATGTGTTGAGACAAGTTGCTTGTACGCAAGGCAGCTTCCAGTTTGGTAGCTGAAGGAACTGTTGTCGTCATTAATTGTAAGGAACTAAATCAATTGCATTGAACACTCCTAAAAATGCCCCAAGAACTTCTGTTTTAGCTAAAGACACCTATTTAAGTCCAGAATCTCATTTGTTAGGTGCTTCCTCTAAACAAGAACTTATTAGGCAGCATTAGCCAGTATCTGTCAACTTAAGACAAGGTCTGAATTCAGTCAGTGGTTGATGATCTGTCCTGGCAGCCAGAGGGTGTGTGGAGGTGTCTGACTCAACCTGTGTGTCACCTGCACAGGGGTGGCCTCAGATCCCTGCCAGCACCTCTCCAAAGGGCTGCTGAAAGGAACAAAACCATGATAGATGCATCCTTACACTGCATGAACAGATAAAAAGATAGCAAAAGAATGAAGTTAGAGTTCTGTACCCAATTCTAAATTAATTTAATTTCCTCTCAGGCTTGAGCTTCTCCCTGTTGACACTTTTCCATAAAGCTAATCCTTTCCCTTCATCAAAAAAAACCTTCTTTGAGAGGCAGCAGTGTTTCAGCTCCAAATGGAAGCGTTCTCTCCCACTTCTGTTATTTCAGGAAGTATCCAGTACCAAAATCTAAAGTAACCATAATTTTATTGCTAACTGGGGTGTTAAAGTGGGAAATGAGCAATCCAAAGACTATGAGATTTTCTGCATTGCTTTCAGAAAAATTGTCAATTCAAGGAATTGGTACCATTTTTCAGAAAGGGCAGCATGCTGTACAAGAGCCTAGTTTAGGTTCTTTACTGCAGTTTTAATGCCTTGACTGGGAGCATAATCCACATGAAATTTGGTCAGTGCCCTCACAGGTGGTGCAAATGAAAGTGAAGACATGTCCCAGAAGATAAAAATTAATAATGCTGTCTCCCTTCAGGATGGATTCCTCCACTTTAGCACCTTTCCTGGCAAACAGAAATAACGATTTGTGTAAATGTCCCTCAGCCTGATATGGCTGGAAATGGCATTGTTGGGAATAGGGATAACAACAGCAACCAAAACCAGGCATTAGGGAAGGGGTCACTACAAAAAGATGTTTTTGTATCAAATGTCTTATTTCTCCCTGGGTTTTCTTAGCTAGTGATGATGTTTTACCACTTTCATTTCCAGTGCTTTGGAGGTCATTCCAAACAAGCCTCTCATTTAAAAAATAATATTAAAAAAGTCTGTATGGGTACTGCAATTGCATGAGCCATTAATTTCCATATGTGTACTTGAGATGATCCCAGAAAAGCATTGAATTTCAAGTCATGTATTCCAGCTCCCAGTAATTGCTAGAATAGTAATGTTGACAGAAGAGTGCCCCTTGGATAGAGGTTTTACTTTTTTTTGTTGTCTTCCTCTTGTCTTTGTGTTTTTAGCCACCAGCTAAATACCTCCTGCCAGAACTGACAGCATCAGACTATGGGAAGAAGTGTGTGGTCATTGATTTAGATGAAACTTTAGTGCACAGTTCATTTAAGGTAAGTAAATTCAAAAGTGATCTCTTGCAGCTTTAATCTGTCAGTGAATGCTGCAGGAACTGTTAAGCCTCTTAACACTTGAACTCGTCTTACAGGCTCTCCCAGGATGCCTGGGAGTTCTCATTGCTGCTCCTATGGTTATTCATCCTAATTTAGCTGTAAGGGGAGGGACACACACATATTGTTTTTTATGTTTTGACTCTGAGACAGTCACATTGGCTGCAACAAGGCCTGGAAGAGGTATTGACTTCATGGCTTTAAGTATTTCAGCAAGAACCTGTATTTTAACAGATACAAAATGTGTTGCTATGGAAATATGGGTTTGATATTTAGTTTTCAGAGCAAGAAAGCAAATACCATTTAGTTGTTGCTCTTGAGTCAGTCACCTTTGAGAAGCAACTCTTATAACCCCTCAGATTTCAGCATGTGGTGGAAGTAGAGGTATTTTTCGATTGTTTAAGTAGTGCTGAAATTGGGAGACTTCAGAAATAATCCGTTGGCTCAGAGTACTGACAACATTTCTGATTAGCAAAGATAATACATGATAAAGCATCTGCTGGTTTTATACATTGATTGGAGAATTTATGAGAATTAATAGTTACCTTACTACTGGCAAACTAAAATTACTACCTTTATATTCTTCTAGTTGTTGCACTCCGTTTTTCACTGCTGGCTTAAACACCACTTTTTAATCCTTCACTAGTTAGTTGCCAGCATTTAAAATGCAAACTGTAATTCATGCTGTGGTTAGAATTTGGCAACAGGCTGTCTTTGTTGGCTTAAAGAAAACCTTATATGGAGATATTAGAACAAATACTCCTCTGCCTCAAACTGAAATTAAGATTTTTCTCTGTCTTTATTGTGCCTGATGGTATATAACAGTTTATGGTGGTGCACAGGAACCCCTCAACCTCAGTGCCAGATTTGTCTTCTATACCCAGACTGAGTTTGCACTGGGGAGTTTTTAAGGGAGATGAGAAACACAGCTGGATTGGGAAGGGGGGAACCATGCCTTCCCATTTTACCAAAAATCTAAAGTAGGGAGGGAAAGCTGAATAAAAATCTAAATTTATATAATAATAATGATAATGAAGTTTTAGGCTTAGTGTTATCTGAAAGGTAGAAATACAGGTTTGCTTTCTGAATGCTGTGGGTTAACATTCAAATTATATTTAATGGGCATTTAAATGATATTAAATAGATATTTAAAAAAATTAAACTATTATTCTACTTAATGATGAGCACTGAATAATTTTTTGTGTTAGGAAAAGAAAACTGTTCCGTTTTTGTGTGAGGTCAGTAGTGTTAGGCAGATGTTGGAGTTTCTGCAGTAGTAGCCTTATGGTTACAAAGGTGTTATCTTAATATAAAACCCTGTGAGGGGGGTGTGTAAGAGAAAACCAAGTGTTGGAGGAAATGGCTTTAATTGTTCAGTGGCTGGCACTGTCCAGTGGTGCTGTTTGGGTTTTGTTTCAGAAAGGGAAATACTTCAACTGAATCAAGACCATTAATTATCATCAAAAATAATATGTTCCAGCAGAGCAGGGTTTGAACCCCTCTGTGCACCCTGCTCTGCCTGGATAATCAAGTTACTTCTGCAATTTCTTTTAGTTTGTGGGGGTCTGGGGGTATTTTTGGTGGGTTTTTTTTCATTAAAACACGTCTGCTCTAACCAAGCAGGTCCCCACTTAAAAGCTGGAAAAGCATACATAAATTTGTGATTTTTAGTACCAAAAAGGGTTTATTTAGAACACCTGATACTTCAGAATTCGTAATTCTGTTATGAAATGGGCTTCATATTTCAAATGCAGATTACATGTTTTTTTAACGCAAACAGAGAGGCAGAATATTTAAAGTGCTCTTTTATGAAAGCAGCAACATCTGAAGGAGGGTAATTCTCATCTGTTTTATGCCCCTGCATATTTGGGAAGCTTTAAGGAGGTACTAGTCTTTCATGTTAGGTGCATATTAAAGGAATAAAGTTTGGGGTTCCTTGGCAAGAGTAAAAAAGGAATAGATAGACAGGATAGTTATCGTTCCCATCGTAGAAACAATAATAGAAGCAAAAATAATAAATTTTTAAATCAAGGAGATGTAAACACGGTTTTGTGTAAAATGTATTAAACCACATGCAAGTCTGGAATGCGGTCGTATTCAAAACTGGCTGTGAAACACTCTCAGAGCATTTAAAATGCTGACTTCTTATTAAAACAGAAGCAGTTCTAACTGAAGATTTTCAGTGGAAATACGTTGTCTCCTTTCGGGCTCTGTCTCTGTGGTTCCCGCTGGAGGCACGTACGTGCTTCGCGTGCACAACCCCAGAAACCTTCATCCAGCAAATTCTTGGAGACTTTCCTCCTCTCTCCCCACCATGAGAAAGCACAGAACCCCAGTCCATGCTCCCTTTCCTTATCACTTGTGCCAACAAGAAAACAACACAGTACCTGAAATTTAAGTGGAGGAAGCAGATACATAGTTGAGAGTGGTTTGGTCAGTGTTGCAGAGTCTAAGGGTGAGCTTTTATTTGTTAGGAAAAAAAATGGAAGTTGTTTAAACAGAATGTGCTTTTCTCTGACATCTGGTTGGTGTAGCTACTGTTAGGATTAAATTTTGTAAAAGCTGTAGTTTTATCAGTGGATTTCAAAACCTCAGTAGCTTGCAGTGACCTCTTCTTTTTCTGCTGCTGCAGAGTATTTCTCTTGCTTAAGGGAGTCATGCATATACAAATTCTTCAAGTGTGGGCAAGCCTCTTCAAAGTCTGCAGGGAGCTGGCACCCACTGGAAAACTGGTGGCTGAGGCTTATTGACAGTTCATTTGGGTTTCTTTTTGAGGTGAAGCCTCAGAACATTTTTGTGTACTTTTTCTGTGGCCGTTGGACATGCTGCAGAGTACCTTCTCTATCTGAGGGGCTCCATTTAGGGAACAGATGGAAGCCTCCCCTCTGTCTTTTCCCAGAGCAGAAAGGGGAAATTGCTCAGTGTCAGCTAAAAAAAAAAATAAAAAAAAAATCTGGATTGAACTGTGTGTATTTGAGGAAACCTTCAGGTTATACTCACACTGGGGTCATCGGCAGGGGAGAGTTTTCCAGCATCATCTGCTCCAGAGTCTGGTTGCCAATACTGGTTGGTCAGGATGAGTAGATTCCATGCAGCCTCTCCTTTGCCCTCTGACCCAGCACTTCCAGGTGTCAGATCAAGCCATCTTCCTCATTACTTTGCTCCTGAGAGAGGGTGTTGCCCTCCATAGAAATTCCTGCAGTCATTTTGCTCTCCTCATGGGAAGGTTTGTTCATAGTGCAGTGAGAATCTTGTTTCTCCAGGGAATGGGATCAAAGTGATGCTGTCAGGTTCATGCTGCAGGATTCTCTTTTCCCACCATTTTTCACAGAGCACCTGTTGAGGCTCACCAGTTTGTGATTTTCTCTTTACCTTGGCTGCTTCTCTGCTTTCTTGGCACCCCCTTTTCCCCCTGAGTGGGTCTGAAGTCTGTTTCTAGTCTCACAGATTCTTCAGGGGCGTCTTCTTGGTGGTTCCTGAGATCAGTCTGATCCAGAAAACCAGGTGGGAAGGTCTGTACAAGTGTAGTAGAGCTGAGTGAAGACGTTTTCCAGCCTTAGCTTAGTAACACCAGTTACCAGACTGCTCCCAGCCCTCGTTCTAGGCTCTTATCCATGGAGCATATTGTCTGTTAATCAGTCATGTTAAAATTGTATTTGGCAGCTCTGTCTCAGCCATTTCCAAGCTGCAGATGATGGAATGAGTTACAAGCTTCAGCCAGGCATGTTTACATGGCTACTTTTTTATCATGGACATAAAGCATGAGCTGTACCCAAGGCTTCTGCCAAGCTGGGTGTCCATTTGAACTAGTAAACATTGTTAGCAGCGTGTTCCCAACTACCACTGCTGTCTAGCCAAGATTAGATTATGTACTCTTAAACTGCCTACAAGGCCACTTTCCTGCTTTCCAAAGCAGTTTTACTTGACCAGCAGTTTTTCTCAGTAAGTCTTAAGAAATAAGTTGTGATTGACAGGCTAGAAAAGTGGATTCAAGGACTTGGGTACAGCGTGTCTGCTCTTCCCTTTGGAATTAAAGTGCAGTTTTACATGATTAAATTGATTGCTATTGGTTCTTGAAGTGTGGCATCTTGAGAATCAATTAGCTATACAACTTGAGTCTTGTTATATTCAGATATAACCATTAGGTATTACTGTTACCACTGTCTTTACTTTTAATTAATTACTGCTTGATGACCCAGAATAGAATATGTGAAGCACATAGCTGATTTTCTTGATTATCAAGTATCCACACAGACTTGATGGAAGAGTTTAGCCAAATAGATGTTTTCCTGGTAAACAGGCTCAGTGGTAGAGGGGGTTATTCAGGCAGTGAAGTGTATTACGTTGTATGAAGCTCCAAAATATGAGAGAAGAGGGAATTGCAGCATCCAGGAATACAACTGTGAGGCTTCTGACTTGTGTGTGTGAAGAACACACACAGAGTGAATTTGTACAGTCAGTAATGCTTATTAACTTGTTCCTGAGGAGTAGGTGCTCTTCCCTTTTACAGCTCTGAAATTCTCCCTCCAATGATCGGGTTTTTAATGTTAATGTTGGTTGTTTCCTTGTCATTCTTTCCAGCCAATTAGCAATGCTGATTTCATCGTTCCTGTCGAAATCGATGGAACCATACATCAGGTAAGTGCTGTTGTTCCTTCAGCATCGTGTCCTGAGTGTCCCAGAGTGTTCTCTTCCTGCATTTGCTGCTTTGCATTCAGTAACTTTGGCAAAACACGGAAACTGTGTATTCTGGAATGTACCATCCAGAAAGGCATCCCTGTTTGATCAGGTGGAATCTCTGTCTCAGGACTTCAGTACTTGACTCTTTGTCAATTTTAAAACATTTTCAAACAGCAGATGATCTAAGAATGGGGTTTCAAACATGACTAGAACCCAGAAAAAGCTACTTGAATACTGCATTTCTCATTCCTTCCAAGGCAAACAGGACATAAGTTGGCTTTAATGTCTTTTGGTAGCTCATATGGACCAAACTTTACAAAGGTAGTAAGGAAGAACAGACATTCCTCAGGTTTTTGTGGCAGTCTGTGTTTAATTCCTGTCCCCTTTTATACCTGTAAGTAACAAAAGTTCCTCTGATAGGAGGTTTTTTTTATATACTTCAGCATATTTTAAAAGGTCTGGACAAAATTGCGAGGAGACTAATTTTTATGTCTTACTCTTTAAGAACTTCACTTATGGCTCTGAGAAATGGTTTTCAGTAAATGCAAAACTCCCATAATTTGAAAATCAATCCCCCTTCATGTATTTTAGCTTGGTCTTTAATCAGGAGTCTTTTCTGAAACCCCCGAATGAGAGAAATTACAGAGCCATAAATTTTCCTCTTCAGACAGACATTGAAGTTCTTGCTGGAGATGAGTTAAACAGGTTAATTTGAAGTTGAGCCTTTCTGATACGTGAACCTTGCAAATTGTTTGAAGCATCTTCTCTGCCGGGTGTTGTAGGTTACAGATAATGCAGTCATTGAGTTGCAAATCTTCCCTGGATGTGATTTGATGGAGGTTTTTAAGAACTTTAATTGTGGAAATGTTGGGGGGTTTTTATATGTATTATTTTTACTTGGACGGAGAGTTTTTTATTTTAATCTCGGACTAATTGATGGATCGTAAAGTTCATAGTTTCATTTAATTTCCTCTTATGAAAACTACCCATGTAATTGTCACTCTTAAAATAATTACTAAATATCAGTCAGTGGACAGAAACATGCTTTAAAGTAATAGTTGCTTTGTCAGTTTTTACACTGTGCCTGTTTCATGTAGAAAAACTCAATATCTAGGTTACTTACAGCTGTAACATTCAGCAGAGCTGATGCTTAAAACACTAAGTGATGTTTTGGGAGATTTGTGATACTGTCAATCCTGATTTGATGTGGGCTTTAGTTGTGTTTGGTGCTGTAAAACAGACATTTTCTCTCCTAAAACTTTGTAGAATGCTTTTGAAAGTGAATTTTTGAGTGGCTTAGAATTCTCATCACTTAGCTTGTCAAGGTGATATATTTACATTTTGAAACAAATCTCAGGAAAAGACTATCTGGGCTTTGCAGTCAAGCACTTCAAAAGCCAGTTGCTTTTCCATTCCCTGCTGCAAACTCTCAGATTATTCACCAAACATAATGCAGTTTGGCACTTGAAGTGACTCCATGTGGGGGAAAAGAGAAAACAGCAACAGAAAAACCCCCAAACAAACAAAAACCCCACAACTGGCCAGAGGGAGTGGATTTGTGCATCTCCTTCTCCTTGACAGAGAAGATCAAGTGAAATGAGTCTCTGACTGTGCTTTGCTGGAGACTTCCTGCATAATTTTCAAGGAAATTGCTTAATCCCTTTTGTATTTCCAGTTTTTAATCTCTTAAAATATTCAGTTCTTAATCTTTAAAATAGGTAAATACCTCAGTCACATTTGGGTGGTCAAAATGAAGTTAATTGTAAGGAATTTGTGGTTCTTGAAATAAAGGTAATTTACATGGCACACTGAACAAGCAAAGTTTGTGTTTGTAACATCTCTGTAGGCAAAGTAACGTTCTGTCATTCAGTAATCTTTTTTTTTCTTTTTACACTGTGACAAACTAAAGGGCAAAAAGGGATATTCTGGCTGAGTCTGTGCATTAACACAGGCTGTGGAGCTTTGACAACCTGTTCCCGCCTCAAACCTGTAATTCTTCAGTCACTTAGAGCATAAACATGAGCAATTTTTGTTATTTCTCAGAATTTGTCATCTGGGTAATGCTCGTCCATTTTCTTAACCAGTTCATACACTCAAAGATTAATCATTGACCTTGGGAAATACTTCCACTTGTGTAAAACACTGCAGGATACGTGAGATGTTGTGGAACCATCCTGTCCACAGTGCATATCCCTACCTGCTTTACCAGTAAGCCTGGTACCTTATCAGGCACGAGATGGTCTGCCAGGTTATTGTCATCATTGAACTCTGCCTTGGAGACAAAACCCCAAGGAAAACAAACAGACCATTTCAGAAGTGCCCATCCAGGGAGAAATTTGAAATAATGTGAGATTGGTCGGGTCTCGTGCACCAAAAACACGAGTTGTGGCAAATTCGGTTGCCGTGCACTTGAAAGAGTTTTGAGATTTGCATACCCAACAAGTTTTTTCATGGTAGATGCTGTGTTTTTTGCTGTTCAACAGAGGTATTCAAAAAAAAAATACTGTCTTTGGTTTGGGGAGTTTGTTTTCCCTTACATAATTTATAATCCAAAGGTCAGAAAAACTCTTTTTTTTTTTTATATAGGGAGGATAATTCATCATCTTAAAGGGTGCTCGGGTAAACGAGCTTCCCAGATTAAAAAATAGCTTTTCTGAACACCCCTTTTCCCTCTCCCATCTTTCTTACTCTGGCCTGAATTCCCTTATCTTTGGGAAGGATTTGTCATTTGATTTTAGAAGGAAATAAATCACGTGTGGAAACACCTCCCTTTCTTTCTGTTGTGGGCCTTTAGATGCCTGCAGAGACTGTGCCCATCTGAGGGCAGCTGGAATTCCAGGAGAAGAATCCCACGCTTTGTGTTGGGAATGATGGCACGGACACAGCAGGGCAGTTCTGATGTGGGCTGACCCTCTCTGGCCAGTTCTCTCATTTCACTCTGGTTCTCTGGATAAAAGGAAACCAAAGCTGGTCTCCCACTCTACCAAATTATAAGGAATAAACTGTGGGAAGTTCAGTGAAATGTGCTGCAACTGAGAGGAGGCTTATTGAGGGTGGAAGTAGTGGCTGGGGAAAGATGTTCAGCCTTGATGTAACTTCTGCCTTTGGAGCTGCTTCCCACTGAACAAGTGCAGAGTGACCAAAGCCCCCAGATCAGAAACTGCACGTTAAATGTACCTTTAATCCCCAGTAAGGGAAGATTTTTAGGGTATAGTTGTCCTTTTGTCTTTTATCCAAATGACTTGCAGTGCCTTTGTGCCTTGCTGTCAGTGTCAAAGTGTAAAAGGAGGCAGCCAGGAGGAGTTTGATTTGGTGTTACTTGGAATTTCATTCTTAAATTTAATTTGTTGAGTAAAACTAGTTTTTAGTGTTCGGTTTTTTAATTTCAGTTAACAATTGCTTGTTTTAGTTGTTGAAAGCTAAAGAAACGTTTGGCCTGTGTACTTTGAGTGTAATGTACAAAATGTTTTTTAATAGAGTGTGGGGAAAACGCTGTTTGTATAATAAACTTCCTTTCTGTAAAGCACAAAATCCATGGATTTCCTTATGGAAGGCTGTGGCCTGGTTCAAGTAATCCAGGATAGGCTGTATCCATTCTAACTGGCCTATTCTTGGTTACTTGCACTGGGAGACAACCACAACTGTGTGACCCAGCACGAGGAGGCTCAAGGACGTGTGTTGTTTTCTGCTCAGAAGATGCACCAGCCCATGGAACGGGAGATCACGGGAGTTGGAGTTGTCCTGGGCAGATTTTTTGGTCATTACTTGGTAGATTTTGTTATTGTAAGGCAGGTTTTGGAAGTCAATTCTTTGTGTCCCATTTAATTGATCAAAATGGAGCTGGGTTTCTTCTCTGGTTTCACAAATACTGAGTCTCTCTGGGTTAAGACTGCTTTGAGGTATAGAAAATTTATGTGGAAATACAAAATCCTTGGGAACAATTAAAGATAATTACTTGTGTTCTGCCATTAGCAGCTGTAAGAATCCTGTGAAAACATGCCTACTGCCTGATTTGTGCTTAACATGTTGAGAGTAGGGTTCATTTTAAATAATAAAAAGAAGACTGTATTCCTCCAAATTCTTGCTGTGATAAGGAAGAAATTAGTTAACACACAATACACAAAAAAATTGGAGGGATATATTTTTTTTTAATGCCCTAAAGACAGTATATAAATCTCAGAAAAATGCCAGGAGCCAGTTAGTCTAGAGACTTAAACTGAAGCCATCAGGCAACAGAAGAAAAAGCCAAGCCACAAATAACCAGGCAGCATTGAGATTCAAGTCCAGCCACTAACAAAGTAAAGGGGGAAAAAATTCCAAATGAGGAGGAAGAGGAGAAAAGAGCTGCACTGTCAGCTGAAGAAAGCTTTTTATGTGAAGTAAACCAAAGAGATTTTGTAGCCCAGGATACCAGTACACTTGGAGTTGCTTCCAGGGGCTAAGTAGGACTTCCCAAAGAAAACTTGAAGGGGAATCACTATCCAAAGTATTAAAGATATGTTGTTCTGCCAAAGGAAAAAAAATAAGTGTTGTTAAAAAAAAAAGGGGGAGGGGGAGGAATTAAGGCCTTTTACAGAGGGAAATAATTAAAGTTTATTGAGACTTCATCCTAAGAGATGACATTTATTATTGATCAGGCATTTAACATGGGAAGCAAATCTGTTGGCCAGATCCCAGCAGGGAAGATTTAAGGCAAAAGAGCAAGTAACTCAAGTAGTGGAGGTTGTGGGTGCCCTTTGGTGGAGCAGGAGGTCTAAAGTGCAGAAGGGGGATAGCACAACTTAAAATGCTGTGTATTTACAGCTAAACACTGAGGAGGTGCAGCATTAGGAGACCTGCAAATAGCCAGAAGAGCACTTCCTGCAAGGACTTGCCTGCAAATACAGCACAAGCCTGTGGTTTGGGAGCTCTTGGGCTGCAGCTCCGGGGTTGATTTACTGTGTGCTCTCCTTATGGAGGAGGTGGGTTATGTTGCAAGCAGCAAAGTTCATATCCTTGGCAGGGAGTTTGTAATTACATTCCAAGTGGAAATACTTCGCCAACACGGGCATAGATAGGGATGGAGAGCAAAGAGGAGTCTTCTTTTGCTGTGGCTGAAAACACTGGGCTTTAGAAGGGAAATGAATGTTAAAATTCCAGCACTAACTATCTAGTTAAGACTCTGGGGTGCCCCTTTTGTGCCCTCAAAAATATAATTTAAGGCTAAAGAATTAAAAACTTCATTATTAAGGAGTAACTTGGATCCTGCTATCTTTCTTCTTACAACTGGGAAGATGGATAGTCTCTGGGTGCCCAAAAGCAGGGGGACTGCAGCTTTCTTTTTATCTGTGTCTTTAAAAAATTCAGAGATAGAATTTAGAGAGGAAATACTACAGAACAACTTTGTTTAGTAAGAATTAATGAAAAATTAATTGCATTGTTATAGGGGAGGAAACTACTTGGTTTGTGTCTGGTGGAATACAGGAAACATTGCTGTAATTACCTGGAAAGAGTGGTGTTGAAGTACATCTGTTAACTGTCTTTAATCCATAAAATGTCACATTTATTTGATGGGTGAGGTGCTGCTGTCATTGTTTAAAAAAACGTATATGGGTTATAAATTGTTATCTGTATCAAACTTTGAATTTAATGTTTATGAGGCCAGAAATAGTTTAGATAAATTTCATAGGAATAACTTAAAGAAGGTCAGGGCTTCCTGGTATGATCTGTATGCTACATAAGGTGGAAGAGTAACTAACATTTCTGATTTAGTCACTGAGGTGCAGCTCCATCGTATATGTTGTTAATAAAACTTTGCTTTCAGATTGAGGTTTTCGGTTTCCAATTACACACTTTTTTTCTTTTACTGGAGGCTTTAATTGTTACACTTCAGTTCAAGCTGCTGTTTCTGTATTTTTTTTCTCCTTCAGGCCTTTTCTCTGGGTATCTCCATTTTTTTACCTCTTATTAATAGGAAGCTAGTAAAACACATAAAGTTAATCTAGTTTTACATGTCAAGGAAGGAAATTCCTGAAATTTCAGTCAGTTCTATGCCAGACTTCTCCACTTGAAATTTCCAGTATTGAGGATTATTTGCCAAACAAAGAAGATAAAATGCTGCCAGTGTTTTCTCTCAAACTTCTAATCTAACTGCAAACAAGATAGATAAATATTTTTTAAGCAGACTCCCCTCTTCAGCTTCCCAGTATGTTGTGAGCTACTTCCAAGCTTTCTGAGCAGCAGTTATCTTATCTTGGTATTTTCTCTGAATGCAAAATCATCTTGCTTGCTCTGGAAAGAGAGGCAGGGAGGCCCTAATATCTGCTAATCAGGTTGTTGACATTAGGCAGCCAAGCTGCCTGTGTGGATGTCAGTGCAAAAAGGCAGTACAGCATTGCTGAGAGGATCTCTCTCAAGAGGAGAGAGATCTTGAGTATTTGCCATCTTTAGGGCTAGCTCCTCGTAGAAGATGCTGCAGACTTTGTTTTGAAAACAGCATTTTTAGACATTCTGCGTGGTGCTGGGAAGGCTTTCGGTGAACAAAGCTCCCTGCAGAGCTGGATGACTGATAACTCTCCATGGTGAGATATGGTACTTAGCACCTGGAATTTAAAAAAATGAGAGAATTAGCCACAGAGAGAAAACAGCTCCCTGTTGTGCAGTTCCTGTCATCACAGAGTTTTCATCGAATTTATTCCCTCTCTAAAGCTCTTCAGCACCGAAGGCACCAGCACCAAAACGGTTTTTTGGTTGAGAGACACGAATCCTCGTTCCTTGAGAAGGCCTCCTGTCTCTCTTTGCCTTTAATGAGATTTTTGCAGAAGCATCACTCCAGATGATGCACAGTGTTTGCAATGGCATAATCAGCATGGGGCTTGGCAGCCTGTGCGTGCCAATCTCTCATTATTGGATCTCTACTTTTATCTTGTGCACTTCTTTTTTTATTTTCAGCATCTCGTTTGAACTGCTTCCCTGTTAACTTTTTTGTTTCTTCAAGTGTTAGGATTGCAGGAGTGGTTTGGTTTGGTTGGTTTTTTTTTTTTTAATTTTCCTTGAGCACCATCTGACCTGAATGTCATTATCATTCCAGGTTTATGTTTTGAAACGACCACATGTGGATGAGTTTCTTCAGAGGATGGGAGAGCTCTTTGAATGTGTACTCTTCACAGCCAGTCTAGCCAAGGTTTGTTCCTCTCCTCATCTCATTAACCTTTTCAGTGCTGGTCAGTGGACTTTTTGGTTGGGTTTTCTATGGATAATGATTTCCACAGTTTGGTACTATCTTAATTTTTCCCCTTCTTTTCTGCTTCTTTGTCTGACAGTGTGTACTTTGTCTACTAGTGTGTGGGTAAGTGTTTCCATGGTAACACCATCACATATGGGCTCGTCTCATAATGTAGCCTCCATGCATTGCTCATGATGCCAATATGAAAGGCTCACAAGTTACCATGGTTATAGTGAGAAATTAGAACAAATAGCGTGCGAGTAAAGCAGCACATTAAAGCTGGGCACGAAATAAAACACACCGAATTAAACGCCATCCACACGATCGACCAGTGACTCAGAAATTTGCTGAAAATTGGGAACACGTCTTTTTTTTTTTTGTTGTTGTTTTTTTTTTGTTCTGTCAAGGTGCAATTGCAAATCTGGAGTTGGAAAATGAGACGTTTTTTTGCAAAGCCTGAAACGTCAGCAGGAATATTTTGTGCCCTCTGGTCTGCAGTAGCGGTAGTAGCTCGTAGGTAGTTTTGTGGTAGATGTTACAGTAGTGGACTGATCTTAAAATTCTTCACCTTCAGTGTACTGTATTTGTGGTGTCTTGTTTGTAAAGTTATATTGGTTATTTCTAAATAATGCTCTAGCATGGCAAGCTTTTAGTGCAACCTAGTGATGGTAGAAGGGGGCAGGACCCTGATCTGTAATGCCTTCCTACCAGAGGATTCTACCCTGAATTCTCATTACCCTGTTCTGTTCAGTTGTGTTGTAAAAATCCTAAATACTGCAACAATTTCGTACTGAAGTAAGGTGTCTGTTAATTTTTCATAGTCAGAAGATGATTGATTTCAACATCAATTTTTTTTCTCAGTTTAAAATACAGAAAGAAATATAGCAAAATGGTAACTCCTGCCCTGCAATAATAAGTTACAACTACCTCTTTCAAGTGTGTGGTTATTCACGTTTTGGTTTATTTGGATACTTTTTCTTGGTCAGTTTATATCAGTTGTTGGATTCTAAGCTGTGCCTCACCTCAAGTATCATCTTATGTATGAAATGAGAGTTTCTCTAGTATTGTGGTATTTTTCCTAATAACATCTTTGTCTGATCCTCTGTGGCCCAGTTTTGCAATTTGGTAACCTTAAGAGTCTTACTGACCCAGTCACTCCAAGGGCATCACTTGGAAAAGCCACATCAGGCTCAGATGTGTTCCTTGCAGTTTATATATAGAGGCACATGGAAACAAATCAGCTGTGGAAATGCTTCCTATGGATTTTCTGTTAGCACTGGCTGGTTTTACAGTAATGTTAGTTGAGATCTCTGGATCCATCAACCTCTGGAAAACTCTTACAGTAACTGTAAGTTGGCCCTAAGAATAAAACCTAATCAATAAATCACAGAAAACATCAGAGTGCAAGTTAGCCTTCTGCAGAAAGATAATTGTCCTACTTTTGCATTATCTCTTTATTAATCACTTCAGGTTTGCGGGCAAGTAAGTTAATTAACGAGGAGCAGGGAAGAAAACGGAGAAAGGGCATTTTGTCTGAAATTATTTCCTGTCCCTCCTTCGCCTGGCTCTGTGAACCAGCCTTATCTGTATGCTGCTAACTCCATGTTTCTGACTTCTATTTTTAAGTATGCAGACCCAGTGGCCGACTTACTGGATCGCTGGGGTGTGTTCAGGGCAAGGCTCTTTAGAGAATCCTGTGTTTTCCACCGAGGAAATTATGTGAAGGATCTGAGTCGACTGGGACGTGAGCTGAGTAAAGTTATTATAGTAGATAATTCTCCTGCATCTTACATCTTCCATCCTGAAAATGCAGTAAGTATTCGAAGTACTCAAGTGTGCCTTTATTTTTCTGTTCCTTGCCCAGACCTTCTGATTCAGAAAATAACTTTTCAGAACCCTGCCTTGTATTAGTTTCTGTATTTTCTTAGGCTGCAGGTAGCTTCTGGGATTCACTGCCAAGTGGTGAAGGACTTGGGCAAACTGATCTTGACAGCATGTCATAACCATAGCTGCTCGTGTGCTTTCAGCTTTGGCTTGTGGCATGAAGTCCAACAGTTCTGAGAAATACCAGGTGGTGTGGAACCTGAGGAACTAACTTAGCTCTAAAAACCAAAGCTGCCCTGCAGCACAGCTTTTGTTCTTTGCAGTGGTGATTACAGACAGAATGGTTTGCTTGAACAGCTTCTTGTACTCCCATCTTTTTTCATCGTGGGAATGAAAATATTTATTAGGCAAGAGAATGAATGTTCTATTGGTTGCTGTCTGAAATCTGTGTTTGCGGGTAAGGGAAAGAAAAAAAGTCAGGATCCTGTTGTGTTGTTATGGTTCTCCTTCCAAGTGTTTTCTTGATAACTCCCTTCATAATTAGAAATGTTAGCCAACAAATTCATCAGGTTTTAGGAACAAGGATAAAAGACAGGCAGCATTAGTACTTCAGGGGAGAGTAATTAGGAGCAGTGTGCGTTGTCACTGTGTGTTTGGTGGCTCCAGGAGCTCGGATGGAATGGTCTGGCACTTGCTCCCTCCATTGCTACAGAGGCTCACAGCTGCTTGGTAGCTGCCAGGATAGAAGCTGGAACTCCCTTACATCTACTGACTTTTAAACAACCAGGCTGTGCAGTGCCTTCTTTGATGTTTTTAGCCTGTCGCCTTTGTGAATTGTTAAAATCAGTGTAGAAAAATTTTTATCAGGACCACTGTTTTCCATGGTCCTGCCTCTCTGGAATAGCATTTTTTTTTTTTAACATGAGCTGTTTATCTTGCAGCAGGCAGCTTTTAAGTTCAGATCCTAAAACTGTGATGCCTCAAGTGATGTGGTGAAAACATTTCTCTAGTTGGTGCCACACGTGGTTTAAAGTTGCCATTTATAATAACCAGGAGCTGAAGCTCTAAATTTATGTTCATGATTAAAATCAAAAACCTGATCCAGATCATCGTTTGGTATCTCGGAAATCAGTGCCAAGAAAATAATTGAGCTGTAGAAATTTGGGAGATAAAGTTAAGGGCCTTGTCAGAGTGGTTTAATCATGTATAGAAAAGTGCTGCTAGCGAACTGATACTCGAGTCTCTGCAGAAACCAGAGCTTGTAACAAGATCCAAGATAGTCTTTAAAAGACCTCAGTGCACTTCCATAGTGAAGATACACATCCAGCCCACATATTTAAGAAGGGTTGTTACATGCATTATTTTCTGAACCTGTTCTCGAGGTCTGATATTTTAATCTGAGCTCTGTTCTGTACTCGCTGTTAAATATTTCCTCCAAACCCCTCGCCAGAAGGGGTTGTTGCTGCATTCCTCTGTCTGGTGACTCACACTGATAATTCTTAGAGGGGGAAAAAAAAAAAAAAAAGACTTGCCTGTAAATAAACTGTCAGTGCAGCTTTATAACCTGTGTCTGCCTTCCAGTCTGTTCTGGAATGTTAAGGAGGCAGAGCGAGTCGAGCTGCCCAGCGTGGGCTCACGTAGGTGACCTGGACATGCAGGTGAAGGTCAGCTGTCCTGCAGTTGGCGTTGGGGTTGGGTGCTAGAAAACATGGGCTTGAACCCGGTGCTCCACCTGGAATGCTAATGATTAGCAATTTGCCTTATTGCGATGATGAGTGTTACAGGACACCCACGCAGGCAAAACTCACGTGTCCTTCACATCATGAAGCCCTCTCAGTGTTTGTTGGTTGCTTTGTTTCAGGTGCCTGTGCAGTCCTGGTTTGATGACATGACAGACACAGAGCTGCTAGATCTTATTCCTTTCTTTGAAGGACTAAGCAAAGAGGAAGAAGTTTACAGTATGCTTCATAAACTCTGCAACAGGTAGCCCTTAACTTTGACTGACTTCTGCTACTAGATTGCAGTTGCTAGAGACTGTCTCCATCTTTTTCAGCTCTTTCAAATGTAAGCTTTGGGGAGGTCACCCCTGTCAGAAGTGCTACTCTTGATCTTCCTGTTACATTGGACACGAAGGACAATCATGAGTGATGCTCTTAAGCCTTCAGAAGCCTGACTCCTAAGGTCATGTGTTCAGACTACTTTTTTAAAGGAAAAAAAAAAAAGAAGCTATTTTAAGTGGGACTCTTTTAATTAATTTCATAAATGGACATCTTTTACTGGATCAGCTTTTCTTAAAACATGCCAAAAAAAAAAAGAAGCTTGTATTTCAGCAGTTGAATTTCTCTCCCTTTCTTCCCCTCCCACTATGCAGACAATTTTACCCCCCTGCTTAGAGCAGTTGACCTGACTCTGAATTTTTTCTTACAGAATGAAGTGCCTTTTTGAATGTTATTTTAAGATAAAAAAAATTCATTTTTGTATAAGACGTATTTCCAGACATCTTTTAGTCTTGTATTGTCTAAATGCTTTAAAAGGAAAAAGGAAAAAAATTTTATAGAGCACTGTAATATATAACAAAGGAAAAAAGTTGAAACCAAGATGCTGGGTTCCTGTCTCCACAGTGACATTTAAGTTGCATCACACTTTGCCACGCTCGGAAGGTTCGGGCGTTTCGTGGGAGGGGTGAATTGGGTTCATTACATGGTTGTTTCACCGATGATGATTTCGGGCACAGTTTGGAACATATCTGCAGTTGTTCTGAGTGTCAGGGAATGATGGAATGGAGAAAACAAGGTGGCTGATAGACCTAAAGCACCTTCTCTTGTAGACAGATGAAATTCTGTTGTCTCTGCTTACGCACAACTGCCATGCCTCTCGATTTTCGGAAAACCATTATCTTGGGAGAACGGGGAGGAGGAGATCTATTTATTAGTTTAAGATTCTTTTCTTAAAACAGCCCGTCTGGGTAAGCTGGATCTGTGTTGAGCTGTTTGGAGTACTTTTTTCTTTTAATTGCTGCTACTGTATACTCACCAAATGGAGTTGACCATCGGCTGTTATACTGTTTTTGCCACTGTGCCTGTGCTATGAAACATTTTCTGTAAGCTGCAAACTTGGGCAATAAATAAAATGCAGGCTTCATAACCCACCCCCATGGATTAATCCAATGGTATCTGAAATACCAGAGAACTCAGTTAAAGGTGACCTGTAAAGGGCATTTTTTTAAATTTTTTATTTTTTTTTCAATTGGGGTGAAGCCCTCTCCTTTTGTTGGTATATAAAAATGCAAAAAAGCATTTTGCTCACATCTCTGATTTGTATTTCTTTTTCCCCCAAGCTGTAAGGTACAGATTGGGAGCTGTATCGAGCTTTGCTAGAAGGGCACAAGTTACTAGCCTAGACTAAAATGGCTCCTCTGGCTTTGGAGTTGAGTTAGACTCATCTCTGAGTCTGAGAACCTGCTTAGCATCTTCTGCAGTGTCAGAGGTGCTTTTTCAGTTGAATAACTTTTAAACATTTTAAGCCTTTGAAGAAAAGGCACGCCTCTTCTTTCTTACTTTTTCTCCCCCCTTTCCAGCGTCACCTTTTAATTATCCTCCACCCCAGAAATCTGCAAACATAAAAAAGTGCAGCTGTGTTTGGCTGTCATCAGAGAAGACTAAATGGACTATTCGGTGCTTCTGATTAGCCTCGTGCTAAATTCTGAATTGCAGATCCCCTTTGCCTTTTCTGTTTCTTTCGAAAAGTCTCGAAGACTTGAGGGGGAAAAAAAACCAAAAAAAAGACAAAAAACAACTTTTTTGCAATGGACTTGGCTTGTGATCCTCGTCTAAAATCATTGGTGAAGCAGCTTAACAACGTTCATAGAAGGGCAGGCAGTGAGTAGGTTGTAGGTACAGTATAAAAGTGAGCAGCTGTGCTCCAGCTGTGGCTGCACCCAGGGGTGTTGGAGGCAGTCCCGTCACACTCTGTGTGAGTCTGTAATGGCATCACCGTTTTGTTTCTTACCAGCTGGCATTACCTTAGTACTGTACAATTCCGTGCCACAACGAAAGACAAAACCGTCAAATCTAAAATTTAAAAAAAAACAAAACAAAAAAAAAATCAAAAAAAAAAAGCGCCTACTTTGTTTGAAAAAAAATCGGGGGGGAAAAAAAAAAAGAGAGACGTATGGATTCTGGTTAGTCCATTAACGTTCCCTTTCGGTTTCAGATTGTTTAATTTTGTATTTGACTTCAGAGTAACGAAAACCCCTTAAGCTGCCAAAAAAAAAAAAAAAAAAAAAGAAAGAAAGAAAAAGTTGTTCTCTGAGCAGTATTTTTTCAACTGCGTTTTGCGGCTTCTGGGCTTCAAATGCAGTTTGCAGGGAAGTATTCAGGTTGTAGTTAGTCGTGCAGGTATGAGAGGAATGGCTGAAAAAAAAACAAAAAAACAAACTCAAAGACTTTCTCGAAAGCATTAGACCAAACAGACAATAAATAACCCACCGTGGTGACCTGTTGTACGTGAGACAAACCATGCCATCCGTTTGCATCTCTGAAAGCAGCGATTTCATGAACCAGTTGCCTTAAGTCTGTGAATGAATGTTGACTATTAAAAGTGTCTTGTATTGTTCTAAAATCCACATAGAACGGGCAACTGAACTTCTGCACCAGCTTCTGCAGGAAGGGTTCTGATGATGTTCTGTACAAACCGTACTTAACACTGTATTATTTTGGCTCTTGAAATCCACAAATTTTAAAAAAAAAAACAAACAAAAAACCAACCCAAATTATTTTAATAAGTTAGTTTTAGTAAAGCATTAAAATAACATTTTGTGACAAAGGCAAAAAACTTAGCCACAGCTTTGATCTCTTAATATTAAGAGTATTTTCTGTAAGTTTTGAGTAATTTAGTAATTTTTTTATTTTTTAACCCACTTGGAGTGCTCTGCAATCAGGTTTGGACTCCCCTGTGTATTCAGATTGGACCAGAGGGATCAAACTGTCCTAGTTGGTTATTTTGACACTTATCATCGTACTTGAAATTTCAAGTGTTGAGTTTTGCGTGGATATACATACGCTCTATATTTAGTTTCTAGATTGTAACAAAGCAATATAGTTCTGTCCATACAGTCAGATAATGGAATGTCTGTAAAATTTGCAATACGGGTATTTGATTGTATTTTAAATACAAGAGTTTAAAAACTAAAATAGGAAAAAAAAAAAAAACTTGTTTCCTAAATCTCTTGCATATTTTGAAGTGCAGTTAGTGCATGCAGGTCACCAGGGCTGTTATAAACCCTGGCTTTCAATTTTATTATTTCTGGATATTATAGAAGTTATTAAAAAGTCTTTTCCAGTTGGTCATCCTGTTCAGCTAAAGAGATGCTGCCTGGCCTGAAGTTCTGTTGTCCTTTTTATGTCGGGTTAAAAACGGTTTTTTGCCTGTATAGGTATTTTTGAATTAAGCTGTAAGGCAGAATTGCCTTAGATTCTTTAAATTCAGCTGAGGTGTTAACGATTAAATTGCCATTTGTAAACTAGGGCTGTGCGCAGAGTCCTTGTTAAGGACCACCAGGAAGCGTGGCAGGCTTGGAATGGGAGATGGTAGCAAAATGTACAATATTGCTGTGTTCATTTAGGTAGCTTTGGAAGAGTAATTTGTCTCTTTGTTTTGCCCTTTTGATCTTTATTATTAAACAGCGAAGTTCTACATGGAGGAAGCTCAACATCTGGAGACATTTGGTTGTCAGTGTACGCAAATCACTTTCTTACAGCATGATTTTGATTAGACTGGTTGGGGACAATAAAGTATCTAAATGACACTGGTGTGTGCTGTATGTTGCAGCTTTTGAAATTTCAGTGTATCAAAAAAAAAAAAAAGTAAAGTAATTATATAAGTTCTGGAGACGTAAATCCTCTGTTTTACAGGTTGTTTTTAACCTAAATAAACCACAGTACCGCACAGCCCTATTTGTAAAACAGAAACAAGTTTGTGCCTCTGATTTCCAAGGTGCTGTGATGTTTTGCCTTTGTGGGGCGAGGAGGGGGCAGGTGAGACTGGCGTGGGGCAATTGCTTCAGAATCTCTGGGTAACTATGCAAAACCAGCTGTCAGTTTTCTGTTTCCCATGGTATTGTAAAATCCCAGCTGACTCTCTTTTATTTCTTGTTAAAGGTCTATTGGGAACTCCTTAACGGAGGAGTAAGCAATGGAAATGTTTCTTTCTTTCTTTTTTTCCTTCTTCTTTTTTTTTTTCTTATGATGGAGCTGTTTACACTTTGATGCAATGAACAATCCAGCAATACTTGAGAAACACTACAGACGCCATATGAGTGTTTGCAGGAGAGAGAAGTGTTGTCAATCAGGTATTGAATGGTTTCTTTACTGTCACAAATAAAAAATTTTAACAATATAGTTACTTGTGCATGTAATACTTCTCTGGGAAAAAGAAATTCTGCACTTCTTCAGCAAAAGGCACTGCCCTAATTTGTCAGGGACATTATTCCTGCTAGTGCACATCCATGTTAAATCATAAAATCATCCATCTATGTCCAACCCTCTTTCCCCTCTCCTCTTTTTAAGTCGTGTGCAGGACTCCTCAGTGCCTGCCCTGGCACCTGCTTGTGCAAACAGAGCTGATGAACTACTGTTGAACTCTGCTAAATAAATTGGTGGCGACTCCTGCAGATGTTCCAGCTATTTAGATCTCTTGGATGAGATCATACAATAATTTGTTCAAGTCTCAAAGCTGTGTGACTTCTTTTGAAGGGCTTACTTCAGCTACTTGAATAGCTGTTCTTAACATCACTGCCATATCCACATGAATATCTGAATAAAACACTTTATTTGGTTGGAAAATCTATTTTGGGACTTTTTATCTGACACAATAAGACTTAGGCAGAGCCTTCCTTTCTAGGAAAAGGCACATATTATTGACGCTTTATGAGCAGAAAACCTCAGGCCTGTTGGAATAAGCAGCTGGCTCAAGATAGCACACTAGTTGCAATTAAAAATGTTTTTTAGTTAGTCCTGTGATCAGTTGGAATGACTAGACTGCCTTTACTTTGTACTGGTGAGTCAGGGGGTTAATTTCTAAAAATTTTTTTTTTTAGGTTTGTTTTTGGGGGGATTTGTTTAGGGGATTTTTTTTTTTTTAGTTTTACCAGTCTCCTTAGCTGCTACTTAGGATAAAGATGCCTTTCTTTTTTTTTCACTCAGTAAAACAAGTGTCTCAAAATTCATAAAACAGCTCATTTATAGCAGTGAGAAAGATCCTTGTTCTGTCCTGACTGATTAAAACCGAGCACACCCTAATCTATGTACTTAAACACCTTCCCATGTTTTTCCCCCATTTCATTGTGTTTTTGACTCAGAAGGAAGGCCAACCACTCTGAAATCCCCTGCAGGATGGGATAGGGCCTCTTCCAGGTGGGCTGCACTCCAGGGGATCCTGCAGTCTCCAGCAGTTTTCCTGGCAAGCCACCCTCGCCATCCAGACTTCCCCTCAGCCCAGCTACCCTGGCAGGAGACCAGGCAAAGCTCTCCTGGACTCCTCTGGTTCCACTGGAGCTACTGGTACATAAATGATCTGTAGGTAATATATTGGTTTGGACAGGTTGGCAGACTCACACTTGGGAAGCTTCCAGGAGTGTTTTGTTGGGAAGGAGCTGTGCTGAGGAGCCGGGTTCTCCGTAATTGGCCGATACCACTTAACGGGCATTTCTGAAGCCCGGGACACACGCAGATGGGTTTGACTCCATAGGGCAGGTCTCTGCATCGGCAGTTACACACTTTCCCAGGTTCAAAAGCAATTAGAAGGGTTAGATTTGGTCATTGCTTGGATCAGCAGCATTACTGGGTTTGGGAGGCACTGGCCATGTCTGTGTCCCCTGGGCCTCGGTGGACCCGTCGTAGCTCCCACCGCTCTTCTCTGCGCACCCGACAGCCTTTAATTTTGGAACAGCCCCTTTGCTTGAGGGATGTAAACACACTTGATCAGGATGGAAATTGCAGGAAAACGCTGGACAAAGAAAGGCAGCGCAGCTGGCACCCGCCAGCCTTGGCCATCGTCTCGGGCTGGACTCCAGCAAGGACAAGGCTGCTGCTGCTCGAAGGCGAACGGAGGAGTCACCGCTCAGCCAGAAACACGTCACCCCCTCGCAGAACCTCTGTTCTCCCAGATAACGAGGGTTGATCGTTTTGTCCCTACAAACGCGATGTCACCGCCTCAGAATTCCCGGCGTTTCAATAAATGTTGCACTCCAAGGCTCGGAGGAGTTGCTGGCTTGACAATGGGTTGTTTTCTTTTGTCCGATTTTAATGAGCTTTTGTGATGAAAACCAAATTTCCTTACGGTGTAACCTTGTGATTTTATTTTTTTTTTCCACGCTTTGATTCAGTTTGACAATAAACTGTCTGTGTTATTTTTTTCATCCTCTTCATGTCTGATAATGCACATAGTTGAGGGCTGCTCCCAGGAATCCCCCTCTGTGCCCACATGCCATTCTCCATGGGGGAAATACTGGGAGGGGGAAGCAAAGGCTTCAGAGAATCAGGCCAGAGAGTTCTCCCCATTCCATTCCTCTCACAGCTCTTTGGACTTGCTGGGCTTTAATAAAGATGAAAGCCCTGACTGCTGAGCATGAAGGGCTCCTTCCCCTAGCAGCATATTTGGCAGGTGGGTTCAGTTCTTGGTTAACCTGCTGAAGTTTGAATAAAGCCATCTTGCTGCTTCCAGAGCCACTAAAGCCTGTACATAAGTGGGAGCTGAGAAAGCAGAAAGATCTGGATTCTGGGAGGGGATAAGGAAGTGGGAGAAAACTGTTGGGCACTGGTGGGGTTTCCTGTACAACCCCCTGTCAGCTCCTGTGTGCAGCACCCCTGAAGCAGTGGGTTGGTTCCTCACCTGCCTGTCCTGGGTTTGTAGGGATAAATGGGGCCTGAGAACGGATCAGGAGGCACATCCCTGCCTTCCTTCCAGGCTGCAGTGGCATCTGCCTCCATAACTTTGGCAGTGCCTGTTGTGAGTGCTGATCCATCCGTGGTGGTGGTGAGCTGGTGACCTGACACTGGTTTTGGGTCAACCACTCTGTGGGCAAACAACATTGATTCCCTAAGGGATCGGGAGGAACTGGGGGAGCCGCCTTGTGCTTGAGTTGGATTGGTTCAGGGTGCTCCTGGGAAGCAGCTTTTCATCTGGCACATGTCCCCGAGTTAGGTCTGCATGGAAGGGGCATGCTGAAGAAGCTGGGTGTAAGTTAAGCATTTACTGGAAGACAAACCCACAGAAATACAAAAGTCTGATGTTTTCATCTGTGTTTTTAACAGGATATGCCTTTAGGATTTTTTCCTAGTCTCTGCCAAATCTCCTGGTTACTTTGTGCTGTACCCTAAGAGGTTGAGAACCACTGTGGGGTTTTTTATGCATCTGAAATGCTCAGGCACAAAGTCTGATGTCTTGGGCCATTTTGTTCTTTCACAAGCAAATGCATTTAGAAGAAGAGAGGAAGCTTTTTGTCAAGACATGAGCCTGTTTAATCACAGAATTATAGAATCATTTAGGTTGGAAGGGACTTACTGCTGACTTGGGCCAGGTGCTGTGTAGGAGTAGGGCTGAGACTGAGCACATACAGGTCTTGCCCTTGGCTTTGCATCACGGGGCTGTAGCTCTGTGACCCTTAATATTCCTTTTAATATTTTCTCTAAATAGTGAGCAGAGCCTTGATTTCATTGGAATCCTCTGTAACACATCTTAGTAAGGCAGGTAGAGCAGGTTCAGATGAATAATCACCCACTGGCCTGATCTCTAATCTGCTGGATAGATCTTGAAATAATAACTGGAGGGGTCAGGCAAATATTTGGAATGATGATGGCTGTGGTTGGAAAATGGTTGTACTGTTGGCACCTTGGGGAGAGGGATGAGCAGGCAGGAAGGAGTGGAGCTGGGGGAGGTCTGGAGGGGGCTTTGTGGCTCTGAACTGTGGTGGGCCAAGCCGTGGCATGGTCTGGCAGTGGGTGCACTTGGCTTTGATGCATCCATGATCCAAGTTTTGGGAAAAAAAGGAGGGTTTTAAAGGCTCGGGCCATGCAGGGCTCTGTCACACCACGAGATGGTGCAGCTGTGCAGCGCTGGCTTTTAAAGGCACCGTAGAGGATTTTTAAAAGGCATTATCTCGAGTAAAAGCATCACCACAACTTCGAATATCTGAATCCCCTGCCAAGGTTGCACTCCTCAGGTCCACGGAAAACATCTTCCTTCAGGTAAAAATCCTTCAGAGGCAATTTCTTCATTTGCCCAATGAGTGCTGAGTTTAGCTTTGCAAAAGGAACCTGTGGCCCCTCACCTGAATACAGGTAAGTATTCGTGATAATTTTAGTCTCTTGATTATTTTTTCTTGCGCAGAAACGTGTGATCAGCACATGAAAAATAAAGAGGAAAATCAGCATTTCTCAAATAGTTGAGTTCTAAATTACATCCTTATGCCTTCCCTAGTGTGGTAAACCTTGTTTTCCTCCAAAAGCTCTGCTGCTCACCTTTTCTTCTCTTTCTAAAGCAACATCGTTTTAAACTGGGATTTGGCTGAAGTACATCAGGAGGACTGTGGACAAATGTTGAGTCTCCAGGCGGGGCAGGAAGAGAAAGAAGAAAGCAGTGTGGTGCCAAGCTGGCAGGTGTGTAACAAGGCACCTCTCCCTGTGCCAATTCCGCTTCCCTGCCGCGTGTGCTGAACCGTGTGAGACCTGGGCCAGAGCACGGGGGTGAGGGGAGGGTCAAGGCTGGACCAGAAGGGCTGCATCCACCAGGGAATGGACCACACCTGCAGGGCTGCTCCTCCCTGTTAGTGAGGGCATGGTCTGGTTTCACGTGCCCAACATGCTCCTGTTTTCTGAAGTGTTTTTCCAACCCGCCACCTCCCTTTGCTGCCCATCCCCTTGGCCTTCTGCTCCCTCTCACTGGAGGCACCTGCCCTGTGAGGAAAGACTGAAGGAGTCAGGTCCCTTTTTCCTGGGAAGAGAAGGCTCAGGCAGGACCTCATCACAGCCGCAAAGTACAGAGGCTCCCTCTTCACACGGAGTCATGTGGAAAACAACAGGGAACAGGTACAAGTAGCACCAGAAGAGGTTTTCACTTGGCACAAGACAGAAATTTTTTACAGTGAGAACAGTCAGTCATGGAAACAACTTCCCCAGGGATGTGGTGGAGTCCCCATCACTGGAGGATTTCAAGATGCAACTGGATAGAGCAATGGATAACCTCATCCAGCTCCTTTCCTGTGACAGGTTGGACCAGGCGAACTTTCAAGATCTCTTCCAACCTGGGCTATTCTTTGATTCTACGATTCCCGTGTATCTTTTTCCACCTCCTGGCTTGCTGTCCCCAGGAATGGGGTGACCAGCTGTCCTGGTAAAGGAGGAGGGCTCTGCAGCGTCATCCAGCCTTGGACAGGCTATTTCCTTGTGCCTCAGATGTTCTCCCCTCTTTTGCCCCTTCTTTTAGAAGAACGAACAGATTTCCCTGCATGTTGATTGTTTTACTCCTACAAGTGCAAAACATCTGGATTGGAGGTGACACTAAACCCCTTGCAATCCTACTCCTCGTTAGTTGTGGGGAGCAAAACTGCTCTTCTCACTCAGAATATTTTTACTTTGCACATGTTGCCATTTTTATTTTAAGCATTTTCCATTTGATTAGCAAAGCAGTGTGACTAGAAGGGAAGATGAGCGTTCTCCAGTGACACAACATGGGGCCAAGAGATGCTAATTGGTATTTCC